GATTTATTAAATAAATTACATTTATCGCCACATACACAAACTTATGCTGATTTCGGATTGCATACAGATAAAGTATTTTTACGAAAATCATCTTCGCCTTCAAGATCACATATACAGCCATCGGAAACAATACGAATTGTTATGGAAGATCCGACTTTAAGATATGTTGATTCATCATTTGGATATGTTTCATTATTTCCATTTATTTTACAAATTATTAATCCTAGATCTCCGCAATTGGGTAAAATATTACAAGATTTAATAAATCCTGATCTATTGTGGACCAAATATGGTTTACGATCACTTGCAAAGATATCACCATTTTATATGAAATATAATACTGAACATGATGCTCCTTATTGGAGAGGAGCTATATGGATAAATTTAAATTATTTAACAGTAAGAGCAGCATATTATTATTCCAATATTGAAGGACCATATAAAAGTGAAGCAAAAAAAATTTATCAAAATTTGAGAAAAAATTTAATACAAAATGTTATAAAACAATATAAAAAATCTGGATATATATGGGAAAATTATGGTGATATTCATGGAGAAGGTAAAAATAGTCATCCATTCACTGGTTGGACATCTCTAGTTGTACTACTTATGGCAGAAATTTATTAATTGTAGAATTGTATTATAAATAATTTCATTTATATGTATATTATTTTATTAATAGTAAAATTAAAAAATATTGCTGGGAATATTTTATATAAAGGATATATATAAAAGGATTTATATAAAATAAATATTACTAATGTGAATATTGACTATATTATTGTTATGTATACAAATGTGATAATATCTGTAAATTATTATAATCACTTATGAATATTTTTTTGTAATAAATAGAAAAATATTTTGTAACACAAAATATTTATTCATATTCATATATAATAATCATATAAAATTAATTATCTATGAAATTTAATAGTAATTTTAATAGTGATCTCAAATAATATCATCAAATTGTATATTTTTACATTTTATATTTTTATATTTTTATACTTTTATATTTTATAATAATTTTCTAATTATATATGATATATGATAATTATAAATTATTTAAATAAGTATTAAAATAAATTCTTAGTTTATGTTTAAATTATGTATAAGTTTTATTTTTAAATTATAATAATTTTATTAAATATAATTATTGTATTTTCTAAAATTTAAGCAATAAGAAAAAACAATTTTAAAAATAATGTAATCAAATAAATTTGATGAATGAAATCTTGGCTATAAAAAAATAATACTATAATATTGTAATAAATTACTTTAAAAATAACAATTTTGAAATTAAAATTTAAAATAAATGTGATTTTTTAATAAGTACTTTATTAATATTTATAATTAATACTTTTATTATGTATAATAGTTTAATAAATATTTAATAAAAATTATTTAAATTTATACATATATATGTATATTTTAAGAAATTAAGAAAAATATATAATAAAAAAAAAAATTAATAAAAGATAAAACTTTATTATTTCTGAATTTGCTAACAAATATGAATAAGCTATTGGCAAACCTGCTAGTAACTAGTAACTACTTTTATTTCTCTTAGTTGTAAATAACTGTCTTAGACCTCACCAAAGAATAGGTGTGCGACTGTGGGGTTACAGTTGTGAATTTGTATAGTTTTTACATAAAATAGTGAAATTTTTAGATAATTATGGAGCCATATGATGTAATAATTAATCAACCCGTAGTTATCGATAACGTAAGTAATGCATAAAAATTTGTAATCTTTAAACATTTTTTTTTCCTTTATATCGATGTGTCAAATTGAATTCTACCATAATGTCGGCTTTTGTAACGCTAATAATTTCATATTTTTTCTTTAAAATTATGATTATTATTTCTATATATAATCATTTAATATTTTAATAATTTATATAATCTTTTTATATTTATTTTATATCATTTTTATTATATTAATATTTTAATATTCAAATATGTTATATGTATTAAAACTGATCTATTAAAAATAATTGCTATAGTTTAAAATCAATAATGATTCAATGATGATACTATATAATTCATTTTCTTAGGGTTCTGGTGTAATTAAAGCAGGATTTGCAGGTGATCAAATACCAAAATGTAGATTTCCAAATTAGTAAGTATATATATATATATATATAAATATTTTAATACTATTGTATTATCATAGAATTAATTGACAAGTAGTAAAATAAAATCAAATATAAGTTCTTAATATCTTTATTTTTAATTAATAATATTGCTTAATTTTTAGTCTATGATATTATTCTAATTAAATTGATAATTTTTTCTAGTATTGGTAGACCAAAACATATACGTGTTATGGCTGGTGCTTTAGAAGGAGATCTTTTTGTGGGTCCAATAGCAGAGGAACATCGTGGTCTCTTATCTCTTCGTTATCCAATGGAACATGGAGTTGTTACAGATTGGAATGATATGGAAAGAATTTGGTCTTATGTTTATAGTAAAGATCAATTAGCAACATTTAGCGAAGAACATCCAGTTTTATTAACAGAAGCACCTCTTAATCCAAGAAAAAATAGAGAAAAAGCTGCAGAAATATTCTTTGATACATTCAATGTTCCAGCATTATTTGTTTCAATGCAAGCTGTACTTAGTCTGTAGGTATTCAGTTATAATGGATTTACAATTTTATTTATGTTATGATGTTTTATATGTTTTAATACTGTTAAAATTAAATGTTGAATAATATTTTTATTATGTGAATTTAATTTAAAGATATGCCACAGGAAGAACTACAGGAGTAGTTTTAGACGCTGGAGATGGTGTAACACATGCAGTACCTATTTATGAAGGTTTTGCTATGCCTCATAGTATTATGAGAGTTGATATAGCAGGACGTGATGTCACAAGACATCTTCGACTACTTTTACGTAAAGAGGGTATTAATTTCAGAACTACAGCGGAATTTGAAATTGTTAGAACAATTAAGGAAAGAGCATGTTATCTTGCTAGCAATCCTCAAAAAGAAGAAACTATTGAAACAGAAAAATTCCAATATGTATTACCTGATGGAAGTTACTTAGAAGTAATAATTTATGTTATTTTTTAAAAGTACTTGTTATTTATTCTATTTATTTGAATAATTTGATTGACAATATCTTTTAAACTTATATGAAAATTTTTTATATAAGTTATATGAAAATATATAATATATTTAGAATATATTTTTATAATAGATTGGTCCAGCAAGATTTAGAGCTCCTGAAGTGCTTTTTAGACCAGATCTAATTGGAGAAGAATGTGAAGGACTTCATGAAGTTCTAACATATTCCATTCAAAAGTCTGATTTAGACTTAAGGAAAGTATTATTTCAAAATATTGTTCTATCAGGAGGATCAACACTATTCCGTGTAAGTATAAAATTAATGAAATTTTTTATAGTATTTTTTTTATTATAATAGTTATATAAGTATTAATATATAAAGAATTAAATTTTAGAATCATTATAAATATTTTTATTTTGTGTTAGGGATTTGGTGATAGATTATTATCAGAAATTCGTAAAATGGCACCAAAAGATATAAAAATTAGGGTATGTAATATTATATAATAAATATTATTTTATATTTAATTTCTTTTATTAAAAATGTTGAAATTCAAACATATAGATATCAGCTCCTCAAGAACGATTATATAGTACATGGATTGGAGGTTCTATTTTGGCTTCTTTAGATACTTTTAAAAAAATGTGGGTTAGTAAAAGAGAATATGAAGAAGATGGTATAAGAGCAATTCATCGCAAGACATTTTGAATTTAATTCAAAATGATTTATATCATGTCAAATAATTTAAGTACAACATATAAATAATGGCACAGTCGGCATCAGATTCGACATGTACCGTATTAACTATGCTCTTTGGATGCTTTTAATATTGCAATTTTTTTTTTAAATATTGCTTCAATTTCTTTTACACGAAAATATATTCCAAGGAATCATAAAATGTTCATATTCCATAAATTAGAATAGGAAAACATAATACAAAAAACAATATAATAAAACTTACTTATACTCAATAATTTATGTAAAATTTTTTATATGCAAATATTTATTTAGTTATAATTTTTAAAATAAAATTTTTATTATATTTTTAAGCAATTTCATTAAGATTCCTTGGAAATGTACATAAAAGTTTTCAAAGTTAGATACATTTTAACTTTCGAAGTTAAATGTACTTCGAAATAAAACTAAGTAATATGTTTAATAATAATGAAATTATTTTTTTCAAAATATCATCTTTCTAAGTTATAAATTTGTTTTTTTATACTATTTATAATTTTATATTTAATATAACAAAAATAGAATTTTATTAAAACAAATATAAAATGCTTTGATTAACAAAGTTATCGTTATAAAGAATATAATGTAATTTCTATTTATAGTAACAATTTTGCAAACTATTTGTAAATATGTATGCTTTGGTAAAATAAATCTATAAACTCTTTACATATGTACTGATTATATCAGTTTTTATGATGAAATAATAATTACAAATTTATATTCTATATATAACAAATATATAATAGAACATGTAATTACATAATAGAATTAAAAAATTTGAAATTATTTGATAGTAATTTATTGTAAAAATATTAAAAATATATCAAAAAATACTTGAGTTTTTTTTAATAATCATAAAATCATCGAAATATTATTATTTGCGATTATATTTTCTTTAAATATATTTTTATATTTATAAAAAAGATTTATAATTTTGTTATAATTTTTTTATAATTTTGTTATTGTTATATTTATAGTTTACACATTTAATTTATTAATTAGGCTATACATTTTATTTATATTTTATATTTTATTTTGTTTACTATCATTATTATTATAAATAATAAATTATAAATAATCAGTATTGTAAATGTAACAAATATAACAATATTTATATTGTTTATTTTTATAATAAAATAATAAATTATTATTGGTACAAATTATATCAATTAAATGTGGAAAATATATTTTTAAATAAACAGTATAATCCTATATTTTCAATTAAGAGTTTAAAATGTTTAATTTTATATAAAATTTATATATGTAAATATATCTATATACCTATATAATAAATAAGTAATCGAATATGGCGATGCCTATGGTGACGCATCGTTTAGTAACATCTTATTTGTACAAATATTTTCAAATAATTTTAATAGACAATCTAAAATAAATATTGTTATATTGTTTTCTTATTTCTTAATAATTAGAATCTGCAAATCTGGATGAAACTAAGGAAAAGATGATCGCCGCCTCAGAACCGGTGGTAAATTAAATATTTTTTAGGTTATGGTATAATTAATAAACATATGTAATTATAATTTTAAAAAGTATTGTTATTTTTTAATATTGAAAATATTTATTAATTTAATAAATAACTTACTTATTCATTTTATATATTTTATATATTTTTATAAGGAATATATTCCTGGTGGAAGACAAATAATTTTACGACATCCTGAATCAGCGACTAATCAACAATTATCAAACAATCAAACAGTTGAAGGAGAAAGTATTTTATTACAAAAATTTAGTCAAGTAAACATTTCAGAAACTTTACCAGTAAGTATAATCATTTTATATATTAGTATTTTAAATATTTAAAGTTTATAATATATATAATTTTTATTTATTTGCTATAAATGTAGAAGGAATTTTGGATTGTACGTGAAAATGATACATGTGGTGAAGAAGAATTATATTGTTCTGGCAAAATTGCAATTCATTCAAAGGGTAATCAAACTACAAGAATATTGCAAACAACTTATACTTGTGAAACAGATATTAAACATGCATTATGGTGTAAATTTCATACTAATATACCTGATCATTTAGTAAAAAGAAAAGAAATAGATGAGGAAAATTATGATAAAACAATAGAATGCATTTGTTTAATTGATTCATATACTCTTAAAGTATTTACCAATATTGGAGAAGATTATGTATCTAGTTTACAATTTCAGGTAATATTTTGACTAAATTTATTTATTTAGTGAAATTTATAATTAAGTTGTATAATTTAGGTATCTGCTGTATGGGCAACAAAATATGGTATTTTATTAGAAAAAACACAAGTCCCTATATCAGAAATAAGGTTTGTTTTTTATTTTTTAAGAAATTTATACATTGAAATTGGAATATGAATATTAATAATATAATATGAATTTTAATCAATTTTAGATATACATCATTGGAAGGAAATAGATTACAATTAAAAAATGATATAAATTTACCAATAGTATTTTCTCTTACACATCCTTTAGATGAAATTTGTCCTGTACTTATTAAACATGGTATCATATAAATTTTATTATAATCCTTCAATTCTATGAAGAAATATTTAATATATAATTTTATTTATAGGAAACATATCATATATGTATGATTCAAATCAACAAATTGTATTTACTAGTTCTGAACCATCTTTGGCTGTGATATATGATACAAAGACTGGATTACATTCTGTATATAAAATACGTAAAGCTTCAGTAGAAGAATGTCAAGTAGTTTGTGGAAATAATGATACTACTACTAGTATATTTAATCAATCAGCAAGTGCATCACCATTAAATATTGGAAATAATCTTTCCTATAAAAATACAAATAAAGGACATTTAAGTATATTTGGTAAAAATGATATTTCTTATTATTTAATTCGAAAAAAATTAAAATATTTATTTAACAAATATATTTATATTTTAGGAGTTCCAAATCCACAATTTAATCTGGGATTAGGAATATCAAATAGTCCATTTGGTTCTCGAACATCTTATACTACTACTTGCTCTGGAGGTCCTTCACCTTCGCAGCAACAACAGCAACATTCAAGATCTCAAAGTCCAATGGCAACTATTTCGCGTTGTCAATCTCCTACTCATTCTGCTTTTTCACCTTTACTTAGTGCACCTGCAAGTTCGATTATTCATCATACAAGGTTGCAACAAATGACTTCTGTATTAAATCATACACAAAATAGTCTTCTAGGTAGCTGCAGTAATATACAGTTACAGGATGTTATATCATCAAGTAAACCTTTGTATCCTGAAATATGTCTTGATCATGTATGGACTGAAAATGTTGGAATTCCAAAGTATATATCATATTTTTATATAATCGTTGCAAATTTTCTTCATATTTTTTATTGTTTTAAAAAAATATAGCATTATTATTTTTTAAGGGATATTACATCTAGTCGAGCATCAAAAGTATTTTTGTCATCAGATTTTGTGGGACAAAATTACTTATGTTATTTAGTTCCACATAGATCACAACTTTTTCTAGTAAGACTTGAAAAAACAAATAAACAACAACAAATTATTTTTGGCATGGTAACGAACATTGTAGCAAAGGGTGCTGTTAATATACCAGTCAGTATTATTATTTCATACTAAATTAAAATTACTAATAAATTACTAATATAAAATGTTTTTTATTTTAGAATTTACATATAATAGCAATAATGGATTTGTCAAATGGAGTGGTATTATATTCGGGTATAACTTGTATCGGAAAATTACATGTAACAGGAATACTTCCAAATTTAACTGGATGTAATTATTTTTTATCTAATATCAATCATAAATTAGGTTCTCCTTTTCCACGACGAAGTTCCTTAATTTCTCAAAATTGTACTATTTCTCATGATATTAAATTTGAAGAAGAATTACATTTATTAAGTCCTGTAGGTGGTAATTGTGCAAGACCACCTATTTTGTTGGAAAATCCTTTAGTAGAAACTAATTTTCTCATTTTAAAAGAAGCAGTCGGAAATAAAATTACTTTAGAATATGGAAATAAAAATTATTTTCGAATAACATTACCGACATCCAGTACCTCTCCTTTAGGTAAATAAATAATAATAATAATTAAAAGTTATATAATTATTATTTTATTATTATTGTTATTATTATTATTATTATATTCATTTTAATAATAAATTATTCTGTATTCTTTATAGTAACCAAATGTTTACAAACATTAAGAGGTGTTTTACAAAAAGATTTAGCAATGCAATTATTGGTAAAATGGTATGGGGCACGAAATGCTCCTGGACCTCAAGATTTTTCACCAGAACAGGAATGGTATCTTTTTCTTGTAGTTTTATTTACATTATTAGGATATGAAGTAGAAAAATTACAGTTAATTCAAACAAATGAAAAAGATCAACTTGGTGAACGCAATAGTCCTATAGTGGTATCAAAAAAGCAAAAAACAAACAATTCTGGATCTAATGATGACTGGAAATATATGACAAATTTTATAAAAAATGGAAGTTCACAAATCTTTATTTCAAATATTCTTGGTCTTCAAAAAACATCTAATATATTTCAAACGTCAGTATCATATATTACAGAATCAAGTAATACAGGCAAAATAAATACACAATCTATTTTATTTCCATATTTTCCGCTCATTCTATTTTCTTTACATCTTTTATATGAAGAATTAAAGTTAAATATTGTAATGTCAGAAAGTTTACCTTTACTCGCACAATTACTATATCAATTAAGTTTGGATTTAAGATTTGATATATATTCTCATCATTATTTTCTTGATTATCCATCTATCTATTATTTGAAAAATACTACATCTCAAATGAAGGATACAGACTTGCAGAAAATTATTATACCAAATTATGTACCATCAAAACCACCAAATGTGTTTGAAACATTAAATAATTTACTAAATGGAATAGAAATAATACCATTTCCTTATTTAAGTCAAGTAAATCCGAAGACAAAAAATATAATTTATTTAATGGCACTTATAGCAAATGAAAATCAAGTTATTATACATGAAATCGATAAATTTATAAAGCATATAATACCAGCTGGAAGTCGTATAGATTTTCAAGAAAGTGGAAATAAATTTGAAAAAGAAATATATAAAAATATTGAATGTTCTGCAATAGATAGAATAGTTTTATTATACCATGAATTAGGTAGGTTTTTCATCATTAGCTTTAATCATCATTAATTTTGAATATAAATTAAAAATTATATATTTAATGTTTTTATATTTATAGGTATGAATAAAAAGGATCTTGAAACATTACCTCCTGGTATATCATTATTATTAAAAGATATAATGTATAGATGTAGAGAACGACCGCCATCAAATTGGCCAATGCAAGCTTATGAATTAGTAGATCGACAAGATTTATCTGAATTAGATAAATCACCTCTATCAAATCATTTAGAAAATGAAGGAAAAAACTATTCAATCAAAGATCCTGAACAAGATGATGGCATGGAATTTGATGATGCCGTACGTTTAATTGTGTATATATATATATATATATATATATATATATATATATA